TCCTTTAGAGGCCTTGGACAAATTCTAATGGGTTTCCCCATAGATATCGTCCACTCCATCCTCTATGGAGTCCATTAGCCCAATATCTAACTATCACACAATTGACAGTTCTAGTCCCCTAAGTTTATTTAATCTCTTTTAGCCACACAATTAATTCTTAATTAATTATTGACTAATATTAATTAAACAATATGATTTCTCCTTTAATATATTATTCTCATAATATATTAATAAATCTTAATTAATCCTCTCTCTCCATAATTCTTCCTATCAAGTTGCTGTGGTGAAGGCAACCCAAAAGGACCATGCACCATCGGGTCAAGTACATACCAAAATAGTTATGGACTTAGACACTAATCCAACAAAATATCCATACATCACAGCATAATAAACAGTTATGGGTTATCAGCAACCCTGGGGATTATCAGCAATCCCAGTGGGATAACAACACCCCATGTGGATTAACAACATGTTCAGGGGTTATCAGCAACCTTGGGGATTATCAGCAATCCCAAAGTATCAACAATGCAATTAAGATATAACAACAAACAACAATAAAGACGATGCTGGTCACATACATAAATACCACACTGGTAAAGTAATGAGAAGACTCACAACCACCTACTAGACCCATCACAACAAATTGCTCTGCTACTAGAAAATCTTCATGGGATACGTAGCCATAATTAATTAGAGGTGAGATAGCCACCCAAACAAGTGATCCTACTCTAGAGCCACAAGAAAACAAGGAACGGGAAAGAAAGCATAGATCAAGAGTTCTAAAGTTATTCCACATGGCTACATATGGCCCTTAGGGCATTCCACTAGATGATAACCAGCCTACTGGTACTCTAACCAGCATACCACTACTGATGCATCCTAACACATGAGGATATAAATATATCTAACAGCTCACTACAACGCAACAACATTCTATACATAAGGATACATAACCAAAAATAGTGGGTCGTCATTGGTGCCTTTGACCTACGAGTATAGTGATGAAAAGTTACCTGGAACAAAGAACCCATAAACACTGCGACGTGCTTCCCTTTCTACATTGCTTGCTGCCACGAGCCCTCTAGCACCAAAACATGGAAGAATCTTAATCAACAAACCAAAATTCTTCAAGTTTGACCCAAAGTCAAACTGTTAAAAAAAGTCAACGGTCAATAAAAGTCAACTTTCAACGGCCCCTCACGACATGACCATACATTGGTCACATCATAAGCCATTAAAAGACAAAATAATCGCGACCGTCGATCCTCAAGATGTGACAGACATAGTTTCATGTCGTGAGAACTGTTTGAATGACATTTTGATGAATAAAACCCCTTAATCCATTAAGCCACTAATCCACCTCCTCTAGAAGGCTTCTTAACACCCCAAGAACCATAAAAATCGATGCTTTAAGGTCTTGCATGTCCAATGCAAGTCTTGAGCTCAAATTAGGGCATTTATGAAGAAAAGGGTGTCAAAAAACTCAAGCACGAGCTCAAACATCAACTAAACTTCAGATCCACCACATATGATCACTAAGGGACTCTAAGGACTCACAAAGTTGCTAAATTTATGGAGTCTCAACACTCTAACTCATCTAACAATGGATAATCATGCATAAAACCTTAGATCTAGCAACAAAGAATCATAAAGCTTGAATCTTGGTTACTCACAAAGGTCCATAGATGTTGATAGAAGATACAAATGAAGCTTCCAGGCTGGATCTATGCTCCAAAGGTGATACCTTCCTCTTTAAGCTACCAAAACACCACCAAAAGCTCAAGACTCACAAGGAGAGGCTAGGGTTAGGGGTTTTTTTTCCTATGCTTGAGGAGAAAGGAGGATGGTAATGAACCCTAACAATGACTTAGAGGGGCTTAAATACGAAGAATACCCTAAAAAATCATGGGCTTAGGCTGCAGCAGTTCTCACGTCGTGAGACCTTATGTATCACGCTATGAACTCGGTTAAATCTGCATTTTCATTTATTCACTTGTCATGTCGTGACCTCTTTATGGTCACGTTGTGACACCCGGTGTTACCCAAAAACCACGACTTTAACTCTTTGATGCCCTAAACCGATCCGTTTTGGAAACTGGGTGTTAAACCTCCCAACTCCTACAACAATCTTTGGAACTCGAAAGAAGAGATTCAAACCAAGGAAATCGAAATGAAGAAGAAACTAAATAAACATCCTTGTTGGGATGTTGTGCTACTTCCCCGACTTGTACATCCATGAAAATTGAAATGAATAAGAGATTTAAACCAAAGATACCGAGCAAAGAGTGAAACCTGATCAAAATAAGGTGAAATCTCGGAGAGACGAACGCTCATGTAAAGGTTTATGCTTGGGAATGGGGAAGGTGGGAGTTCTTGAAGATGAACATAAGTTTGTGGTGGGTGAGGACGTGAGTGACAGAGTGAGATGTATTTTAATTAAAATTTTCTTTTTATTGAAAAAGCCAAAACATTAAAGAAATCGGCAATTACAAGTCAATGCCCCTTTTTAGTAGGTAAAACTTGACTTTGTGCCTCTAAACTACAAAAAAATAATATTATGGACCTTTTAAAACAAAACCTGATAGTTGGTTGGGATATAGTGACATTTTCCTAAGGGTATTCCATATGCAATTCTAAGTATGAAGACCCTATTTGCATGAAAATGATGGAATGCAATATATTAGGTCTATTACAAAAGGGGTTCACGGTGAATGAGAACGGTGAACGATGACCTAATTTTCTCATTTGTTACACATTGCAATGTCGTGGTTTACTGAGATATTTCTACATTCCTAGAGTAGCATCGCTAGAAGCTAATGAAATGGGTATACTTTTTATTTAAGGGATATGTGGCCGTCTGACTTCATAACACAACCCAAGTCATGATTTACATCAAATAGCCTATTTTGATGCACTTTTGGCTCATTTTTAATATAGTTTTACTCTCCTTTTCTTTATATTCACTGAAGATCGGTTTTTTATATCTTTCATTTTGTCCCTTGTTAGTTTTGTAACCCCTAATTTTTGTTTCTTTTTTATGTAGATGTATACCATCTCTCCACATGTGGAACCATGTAGAATGTCAATGCATCATGTGTTAACTTTTTTACTTTATGTTTTCTTATTTTAATAGGTTTATTGATCTTGTTATTATGCATTGTTATCATATTTCTATATGCTAGTTTTATGTATTGTTGGGTTTATACTTGTCTATGTGACCAAATGTTTGATATATCTTTAATGCAAATTAAGATTGCATCTGGAAATTTTGTTGGATATGCCATAGGATGCCCAACAAGTGGAAAATTATTTGGTTATTAAAGCTTCTATAAAATCTCGATTTTGATCATGATCTATAGTGTAAGGCTTCACTGGGACCCACATTTTAATTTAATTTTCGATTTAGATATATGTAATATGATTGTTTTCTTCAAACCCTTGAAAAGTTGAAAGTAAATCGCTTCCAAGGTTGTTTCAATAGCCACCCCTAACTAAAGTAGATATAAAGAACGGCATAATAAGTTTTCCAGTTTGTAACAATTTGTACCTCTTAGACGGAAGAAAGTGGTAACACTTTTAGATGGTGTTTGGGATTTCGTTTAAAAACAATTTATTGACTTTTTGACTTTTTGAAAAATCAATATAAGTTAAAAAAAAGTGTTTGGTAATATGAATGGACTTTTAAAATAACTTTTCATTGACTCTTCAAAAAGTAGATTTCAATAAACTAGAATTTTTAACTTTTCAAAACTCTTTATAGCTTTTTGGGTTGTAAAAGTCAAATAGCTCATAAAATATATATAAGTTAAGACAAATAATTTTTGAAATACAACTTATTAACTTATTGACTTTTTCCACCATAAAAATTAATCCATATACTTTTAAAAAAACTCATTTACCAATAAGTCCTTTTGCCTAAAAATCATTTTTAAGATTCAAAATGAAATCCCAAACATCCTCTTAACACATTGCCACGTAGGTTTTTTTAGTTTTTTTGAAACCATATAATCTTAACATGTCTAGCACAAAAAAAAGATAGAGAGTAGCAATGTATTAATTTAATAGGTTTGATTTTGGAAAAAAGAAGAAGATAAAAATAAAGAAAAAATATCAAACACCAATCCGAACACACCTCTCCACTTTCTCTCTCCTCTCTCCTCTGTCTACACCCTTGGCGACTCTCCCTCGCGAGCCCCTTAGTGCAAGCTAGGGGGTGCGGTTTGGCGACCTTGCCGAGCCTCTCAACGACCCCCACTCCCCAAAGCCTTAAAAGCATGTTTTAAACGATGGTATGTTTACCGAGTAATGACCATTATGACTGCATAAAAATTTGTTCTAGATGATCATTTACAGCCTTAATCAATTAATCTATTCGAATTAGATCATTAGAATCAATTCATGTATGGGTTGAATTTTGATGTGATCGATCCTTTACGACTAATGGAAAGATACTGGTGGTTTCCTATGATAACGACACTCTCCTTTAGTGATCAATGGTCAATGATGTCCTTCAACTATACTATGATATAGGAGTCCTTTATACTATCTATATATATTTTAGTAATGATAAAATAAATAATTGAATGTGTTGAACAAAAAATATGGTCAATGCGTAGTGGACAAATATTAAATAACAAACTTTAGGTTTTAAAAAAACAATAAAATGTTGAAATTCCGTAACATGTTTTAAAATAAGATTTTTTTTTCACGATTTGTGTGATAATTAAGGAATAAGGAGACCTCTTTTCTTGGTTTAATCTAGAAAGAATAAAAATGGTTTCACAGTAGGAAGTCCATTTCGTACTGTTTTTACAATTAGAGTCCATTACTATTCACCCAATGTGTATTTCCAAAGAAGCTTCGATCATACTCCTTTGCATGCATGCTCTATATAACATGCTATAATAAATCGTATCAAAACGTACACTCGCATAAAACTTGAATACACAAAAACAAGAAACAGAAACGTGCTTCTTCTTTTAACCCTTGTTTTGACCTTGATGCCCTTGTCTGAAGGCAATTTTGCAAGTGCCACCGCTATAACCATGGGCAACATAGCAAGGCCAGGCTGCCTTACACAGTGCGGGAACTTGACAGTTCAGTACCCTTTCGGCATAGGCAAAGGCTGTTCCTTGGACGAGTCATTTGAACTGACCTGCAACTTGACTTATAAACCCCCTAAGCTTTTTATAGGGTCGGGAAACATTGAAATCTACAGCATATCAGATTCCGAGATGAGAATTTACAATCGAGTTGCTTACAAGTGCTACAACGCATCTGGGAATGTAACTGATGAACTTGATGCGTGGACCAACTTGGAGACCACCCCTTTCACTTTTTCACAGAAGAACAAGTTCACTGTCATTGGATGCGATGATTTTGCTTTGATCGGAGGAACAAATGGAGCCGAGTTCACTAGTGGCTGTTTGGGAGCATGCAGCAACGCAAATGACGTCCCTGCTGATGGGTACTGCTCCGGAATTGGCTGTTGCCAGACAGCAATACCAAAGGGTCTCAAATTTTACCAAACTACAGTCCTAACCATTGATAACCATACAGCAGTTCAGTCGTTCAATCCTTGTGGTTTAGCATTTCTTGGTGAGGAAGACAGCTTTCAGTTTGGTGGTGCACATGATTTGTATAATGCTACAGAGTTTTATGATAGGACAATTGCAAGTGTCCCGGTGGTGGTCGATTGGGTGATTGGAGGCAACTGGAGTTGCGCACAGGCTAGTACTGAATGCAAGGGAAATAGCGTCTGTAGTGATGCAGATATTGGTGGGTATCGTTGCAGCTGCAACAAAGGTTACGAGGGCAATCCTTATCTTGATCCAGGATGCCAAGGTCAGATTTTCTATTTCAAAACAAAATCATTTCCATAAAACCCTTGTATATACCAAATGACATGTGGGCTAGCCTTATCACGTGTAGTTGGATTAGTGACTTCAGCCACAAGGTTGAGTGTTCAAATCCCATTTTAGTGTCCATTAAACTCTATATCCACTAAACTCCAACTTGGAATCACTATGATTGGAGCCAACTATACATTGTGATACTCTTAGTGGACACTAGTTTCTAATGACTGTCAATATTACTGAAGGCCTCTTCAAATACAGAAGCAAGTGTAATTAAACACAATTAGACGTTTAGCGGGATGAGAAAAACGACTTAATTAATCGCCAATGAATGAATATAATGTGTTTACATATTTTCCAGACATTGACGAGTGTGGCGATAAAAACAACTTCCCTTGTTATCACTACTAGAAAAAACGCTACGGAATTGTGACGAAATGGGTGTCGTAGCATAATTGCTCGTGGGTAATTCTTAGCGACGGAATTGCGACGGATTTCCGACGGAATTCCGACGGCCATATTCCGTAGGTAAATTACCGACGGAATACCTACGGCGAGAAATTGCGACGGAATATCGACGACGGACACTTACCTACATATTACCGACGGACACACATACATTCATAGACATACATTCATACATACATCCACACATTAATAGACACACATTCACACATACGATCATAGAGACACATTCACACATACACATACATTTATATACACACATATACATACATACGCATACATTCATACATAATAATAATAATAATAATAATAATAATAATAATAATAATGGTAATAATAATAATAATAATAATAATAATAATAATAATAGTAAAAAATTAATAAATGACGGATTTGTGACAGAAAGTATACAAATTAGTCTTTTTGTCAGTGTCGTAGCTATTCCGTCGGTATTTACCGACGGATTTCCGACGGATGTGACATCCGTCGGTATTCTGTAGCTGTTCCGTCACAATATCGTGAGTAATTTAGGGCAACATTTTCCGTCGGAATTCCGTATGCATTCCGTAGGTAATTTCCGACGGAATTTTTCCGTAGGTAATTTTCGTAGGTATTCTCATTTTTTCTAGTAGTGTATGGCCATTGCGATAATACTTCAGGGAGTTACAACTATACATGTTTGCCAGGAAACACTGGTGATGCAAGAACAGTAGATGGCTGTCGACCTGTTGCTAAAAATTCAAAATTCCCAGCTATGGTATTTTGCTTAGGTATACTTCGAATTCACATGATGTGTGTTATGTATTATTTCATATAATAATGTACAGCATAATATATAACTATAGCAACCAATTTTTTTGACCCAGCAAGGTTGAATTAGGAACCAATCAATCAGGAGTCCTTTTATCTTTATTAACAAATGCTTCTTTTAACCATATGCTTTTATTGTTTGTGTATATAGTGGCCTGTAGCCCATTCGTATTTTGTATAGCCCATTTGTAGCTCGCCCATCTCATTGTATTTGTATATTTATATTTCCTTGACTGATTATTTTATTTTTGTAATATGTCTCGTTCTTTGGAGTTCCGGTTTAACATAACAACTATTAACCGGAGAATTTTTCCATTTATTCACATGTAGCTCTGGTGTTTGGCTTCGTGGCCATGTTATCTGGGATAACTGGGATTTGCTTAGGCATAAGGAAGAGGAAACTAATCAAGCTACGAGAAAAGTTTTTTGAGCAAAATGGTGGTGTGTTTCTGAAACAAAAGCTCAAGGCACCCGGGGCTAGTGATAACGTGACAATATTTAGTACTCAACAGCTCAGAAAAGCAACTGATAACTATTCCGAGGAGCGGATTGTTGGGCGTGGTGGTTATGTTGTAGTGTATAAAGGAATCTTGCAGGATGAACGTGTTGTTGCAATAAAGAAGTCTAAACTAGTGGATGGGACCCAAGCAGAGCAATTCATCAATGAAGTCTTGATCCTTACACAAGTCATCCATAGAAATGTGGTTAAGCTGTTAGGCTTTTGTTTGGAAGAGGAGGTACCAATACTAGTTTATGAGTTCATCTCGAATAACACACTTTTCTATCACATTCATCATGGATCAGGTGGAGTGAGTTGGTTATCATGGGAGAATAGATTGAGAGTTGCTGCTGAAGCTGCGTCTGCACTTGCATACCTTCATTCACAAGCTACAATGCCTATCATACATAGAGATGTCAAGTCTGCCAATATATTATTAGATGAAAATTACACCACAAAAATATCAGATTTTGGTGCTTCAAGATTGGTCCCTTTAGATCATGATCAAGTCACTACTCTTGTTCAGGGTACAGTTGGGTACTTGGATCCTCAATACTTCCACACAAGCCAATTAACTGACAAGAGTGATGTGTATAGCTTTGGTGTGGTCCTTGCGGAACTTATAACTGGGCAAAAACCCCTTTCTCCAGATAGAATTAATGTGGAAAAAAATTTAGCAACACACTTTCTCAATTCAGTGAAAGAAAACCGTTTCCTTCAGATTGTTGAACCGAGAGTACTACGCGAAGCGACTGTTGAGCAGTTACAAGCAGTACGTGAGCTCACAAGGAGATGCCTTCACTTAGTAGGAGAAAATAGACCAACTATGAAAGAGGTGGCAATGATGCTAGAGGGTTTTAGGAAGTTCACAACTCATCCTTGGGTTCATCAAGAAACAAGCGAATCGAGAAGCTTAATCCTAGAAGTCAAGCAATCTGATGTTTATAGTGTCCTGCAAAATCCCATATAGTCCTAATGAATGTGATCAATCATACTTAGGTTTGTACGAGATGACGTTTTAAGAAAACAAACCACGCTACATTAATTTTTATGGTGCTTGTTATAGTCTCAGTTGTTCGACATCACCATGATTTCTCTAAAAAGTTTTATTAATATTCCAATTTTTGTCTTTGTTATAAAATGTGACGTTTGGAACACACAAATCACCCACAAAGAACACAAGAAAATGAGTGGAAACCAAAAAACGAGAAAACTACAAGACACTATTATTATTACTTGTAAATTTTACAATGTGAAAGTATATAAAAGGGCTAAAATCACCATTGAGGAGAAGAATGAAAAAAACAGATGAAGAAATAAAATATATATATATATATATATATATATATATATATATATATATATATATATATATATATATATATATATATATATATATATATATATATTCTAAATGTGGTCTTACAAAGATTCATAACCATACTCCATAATCCCTAATAAGTAGGAAACCTTCCTAATAGATACATAATTTGAAAGTCAAGAAAATAACTCCTCATAAATGGGTTTTTTGGCTCTTACATAAAAACTAAAACATGTAACAACAAGAAGAAAAAGGTTGCCTAAAAGGAAAGTAATATATATGCATATGCAACATGGTCTAATGCAACACTTCCAGAAATGTTAGGATGTTTAGCAACAACATATTGTCATGGATAACTAGGGTTTCGAAACATATTGCCATGCATAATTAGATGACCTTGCATGAAAAACGGAACATTTTTATTTTCCGTGAAAAATTTAGAAAAATAGACGAACTAAATGCGTTTTCAAAATTCTCATTTTTCTTGGAAAATTTTTCCGGAAAACGGCCAATTTTTCCGCAACTAAACGCACCTATAATCATTGTTTTCTACATTTTTCTAATTCCAAAAATTTTCTAAAATATAAACACAAACCCCACTCCCACACCATCCACCTCTACCTACCCCCACCTTAACACCCCCAACCCACCACACCCACACCCACTCCCACCCCCACACCCCACAAACACACACACACACACACACACGCCAACCTCTACAAACACACACACACACACACACACACCAACCCCCACAAACACACACACACACACCCCACCCACACCCCACAAACACACACTCAAATACACACACTCACACCCAACACCATTACCATAATTATCGACCTACCATCACCATCACCACCACCACTACCCCATCACCACCACCGTTGCCGCCATTACCACCACCGTTGACGCCATCACCACGACTGCCACAATTTTCGCCGCCACCACCACCATGTAGTGGGCCCAATTTGTGTCTTTAACAAGAAACTAAAAAAATACATAAATAATGAAATTAAAGAAAAAAAATTAATAAGGGAACAATAGTCCTTTTAAGTCAAACAGTGATTAAATGCACAACAAAATTAAATCTTAGGAACCGTCCGAGTTAAAAAAAAAAAAGTAAAAGGACCAAACACATAGATTACCCCAAACTACAGGGGCTATCCTTGTAATTTACTCTAACATAAATATGTGAAAAACATACACGCTTGCTGGCAAAATAACTCTTTTTCATAAAAAAATGCTAATCTATCATCTGGAAATTGTCAAGTTCCTGGGATCCGTTTAAATCTAAACCCCCTTCCTCAATTGCCTCAAGATCATAAGCATTAGGAACATAATCCAAACAGCTTCATTACATCCGTAAGTCCTCTCAACACCAAATAAATTTCTTTCTTTCGAATCTGTCGTCTATCTTTCACCATAAAAACATGAAATTTCCCCTCAACTTCAATCCAACTACACCCCGGCTGTTTCACAAACACACACACACACGCCAACCTCTACAAACACACACACACATACCAACCCCCACAAACACGCACACACACACCCCACAAACACACACACACTCACACCCAACACCATTACCATAATTATCGACCTACCATCACCATCACCACCACCACTACACCATCACCACCACCGTTGCCGCCATCACCACCACTGCCACAATTGTCGCCGCCACCACCACCATGTAGTGGGCCCAATTTGTGTCTTTAACAAGAAACTAAAAAAATACATAAATAATGAAATTACAGAAAAAAAAATTAATAAGGGAACAATAGTCCTTTTAAGTCAAACAGTGATTAAATGCACAACAAAATTGAATCTTAGGAACCGTCCGAGTTAAGAAAAAAAAAGTAAAAGGACCAAACACATAGATTACCCCAAACCACAGGGGCCATCCCTGTAATTTACTCTAACATAAATATGTGAAAAACATACAAGCTTGGTGGCAAAATAACTCTTTTACATAAAAAAATGCTAATCTATCATCTGGAAATTGTCAAGTTCCTGGGATCCGTTTAAATCTAAAAACCCTTCCTCAATTGCCTCAAGATCATAAGCACTAGGAACATATCCAAACAGCTTCATTACATCCATAAGTCCTCTCAACACCAAATAAATTTCTTTCTTTCGAATCTGTCGTCTATCTTTCACCATAAAAACATGAAATTTCCCCTCAACTTCAATCCAACTACACCCCAGCTGTTTCACAAACACACACACACACGCCAACCTCTACAAACACACACACACACACACATACCAACCCCCACAAACACGTACACACACACACCCCACAAACACACACACACAAATACATACACTCACACCCAACACCATTACCATAATTATCGACCTACCATCACCATCACCACCACCACTACCCCATCACCACCACCGTTGCCGTCATCACCACCACTGCCACAATTGTCGTCGCCACCACCACCATGTAGTGGGCCCAATTTGTGTCTTTAACAAGAAACTAAAAAAATACATAAATAATGAAATTAAAGATAAATATTAATAAGGGAACAATAGTCCTTTTAAGTCGAACAGTGATTAAATGCACAACAAAATTAAATCTTAGGAACCGTCCGAGTTAAAAAAAAAAGTAAAAGGACCAAACACATAGATTACCCCAAACTACAGGGGCTATCCTTGTAATTTACTCTAACATAAATATGTGAAAAACATACACGCTTGCTGGCAAAATAACTCTTTTTCATAAAAAATGCTAATCTATCATCTGGAAATTGTCAAGTTCCTGGGATCCGTTTAAATCTAAACCCCCTTCCTCAGTTGCCTCAAGATCATAAGCATTAGGAACATAATCCAAACAGCTTCATTACATCCGTAAGTCCTCTCAACACCAAATAAATTTCTTTCTTTCGAATCTGTCGTCTATCTTTCACCATAAAAACATGAAATTTCCCCTCAACTTCAATCCAACTACACCCCGGCTGTTTCACAAACACACACACACACGCCAACCTCTACAAACACACACACACATACCAACCCCCACAAACACGCACACACACACCCCACAAACACACACACACAAATACACACACTCACACCCAACACCATTACCATAATTATCGACCTACCATCACCATCACCACCACCACTACACCATCACCACCACCGTTGCCGCCATCACCACCACTGCCACAATTGTCGCCGCCACCACCACCATGTAGTGGGCCCAATTTGTGTCTTTAACAAGAAACTAAAAAAATACATAAATAATGAAATTAAAGAAAAAAAAATAATAAGGGAACAATAGTCCTTTTAAGTCAAACAGTGATTAAATGCACAACAAAATTAAATCTTAGGAACCGTCCGAGTGAAAAAAAAAAAAGTAAAAGGACCAAACACATAGATTACCCCAAACCACAGGGCCATCCCTGTAATTTACTCTAACATAAATATGTGAAAAACATACAAGCTTGGTGGCAAAATAACTCTTTTACATAAAAAATGCTAATCTATCGTCTGGAAATTGTCAAGTTCCTGGGATCCGTTTAAATCTAAAAACCCTTCCTCAATTGCCTCAAGATCATAAGCATTAGGAACATATCCAAACAACTTCATTACATCCGTAAGTCCTCTCAACACCAAATAAATTTCTTTATTTCGAATCTGTCGTCTATCTTTCACCATAAAAACATGAAATTTCCCCTCAACTTCAATCCAACTACACCCCGGCTGTTTCACCACCCCTTTTTCCTTCATAACCTTTCTCACCCTTTTCACATCCCCCCAATTCCCCCTTTCCGCATACATATTCGAAAGCAAAACATACACACCCGAATTCTTCCCATCTATTTCCATCAACTTTTCAGCCACCTCCTTCCCTAACTCAATGTTCCCATGAACTTTACAACCACCAAGCAAAGCCGCCCACACAACCGCATCCGGTGGGACCCGCATCGTGTCAATCAAATTCTTCGCTTCATCAAGAAAACCCGCCCGCCCAAGTAAATCAACCATACACGCGTAATGATCCGTCATTGGTTCAATCCCGTATTCCGACCTCATTTTATTGAAATACCCGCGACCCGCATCCACTAACCCGCCATGGCTACAAGCGGATAGTACTCCAATCATCGTGACATGATCCGGTTTCTCGCCCGATTGCAACATCCCGTTGAAAAATTCAAGTGCTTCCGGCCCGTATCCGTTTTGAGCTAACCCGATTATGATCGCGTTCCATGACACCCAATCTTTATGAACCATTTTTCTAAAGACCCGTTTTCCATCTTCTACGGATCCACATTTCACATACATATCTATGAGAGAATTTCCCACAAAGATATCGCTTTCGGGTCCAGATTCGAATTTAAACCCGTGTTTTAAAACATGGGTATGCGATTGTTGTCCGAGTCTTAAATCTACAAGATTTGCACACGCGCTAAGAAGATTCCCGAATGTGTAATGTGTTGGAAAGATTCCTTCTTGTTTTAATTGAAGGAAGAGTCCTAAAGCAGTTTCATTGTCTCCATTTTGTGTATACCCTGCAATCAATGCGTTCCAAGATACGATATTTCTATCTGCCATACTTACAAACATGGATCTTGCAGTTTCAAGATTTGCTGACTTGGCATACCCGCTAACAATTGAGGTTTCTGATATGATGTTTTTAGATGGGATTGTGTCAAAAATCCATCTTGCTTCTGAAATTCTACTGCATTTTGCATACATATCAACTAATGTGTTGCATATGACAAGATCTTTTGTGAGTTTGTTGGATTTCATAACTTGATTGTGGATTTCACGTCCCAGATTCAAGTTTGCTAAGGTTGCACATGCGCTTATCAGGCTTGCTAATGTAACCTCATCTGGTTGAATCTTTGAGTTCATCATGTTTTTGAAGACATGAAGAGCTTCAGAAGGTGGACCATTTTGCTCATAACATGTGATCAAGCTGTTCCAAGAAACTACATTACGTGAAGTCATGGAGTCGAAGACTTTTTGAGCAGAATCTACACTTCCACATTTGGAATACATGTCTATAAGAGCACTACCCATGTACACATTTCGTTCGTATGGAGATTTATGAATAGAAGCATGGATCTGAGTACCCATTTTTATATTCCTCAAACCCGCACATGAACTAAGAGCACTTCCATATGAATATTGGTTGAGTACAAAATCTTGAGAATGCATATGTACAAAGAACTCAACTGATTCATCGAATCTATCGTGTTGAGCAAACCCAGAAACCATTGAGTTCCAAGAACACTGGTCAGCCACAGGCATTTGATCGAACACCTTATTTGCTTCATCTAAAAGACCTGCATTTGTTAAGGTGGATAAAACCGCATTCCAAGAGAATATGTTTCTCTCAGGCATTTGATCGAACACCTTATACGCATCATCCACAAAACCAGATTTCCCATAAACATCAATTAGCCTGTTGAGGATGAATGTTTCGGAGTGAAATCTCGACTTGATAATCCGGGCATGTATGTGCTGGGTTTGTTTTGTCGATGATTTTGATTTAAGGCATAGGTCCAAGAGGTTTGCGAGGGGTGATGAGTTAAGGAGATGGAGGTCGTTGGCGATATGTTGCTTACCCAATACATATTTTGCCATTCCATAGAATATAAATGAAGTGTATGTACAAATGCTAGAAGCGCTTCCCCTGATGCTGCGATTCGAAGAAGATCGAACTTTGACTATGTTTTGACCATGCAAATTGACGTTCTATTGTCGATCTGTCGGTGAAAACTCTTTCCCTTTGTTTAAAGAGGGATAAGTTGATATTGTGTATTTATTTTATACTTTACCTAAAAGGAAATAGATTTTCTTTACCTATTGTGTATTTATTTTATACTTTACCTAAAAGGAAATAGATTTTCTTTTCCGTTCCCGAGTTCAACTTAACGAGAGAAAGGAAAGGAAATGAGTAGAAATGAGAAGTAAATAAAAGAGATTGATGTTCACGAGTTTCATTAAAGGAGGGAAGTGGAGGGAAATAGGAGGATCACTTTCTCTCATAACTTTCCTTTCGATTTGGGAGGATTTGGAAAGAAATAACAAAATGATTCATTTTCCTTCCACTTCTCTCCAACTCGGGAACATGAAAGAAATTTTGTTTTCCTTTCCTTTCTCTTCTTTTCCCTCGTGACTTTTTTTTCTTTTCTTTTCTTTTGTTAAACTCGGGAACTATGCATTAAGTTTTTGTTCAAAATTCATCAAAAGTTCTTTTAAATATGGCTAATAATCGATTTGCCATTTTCTTCCTACTGAAAAAAGACTTCAAGTAATAAAAAAATATTTAAAATATAAATTCATATATTTTGACCTTAAATATTTTTATTTGTGTTATATATTGCTTGATAAAACTTATAAAAATAAAAAGATATTTAAAATATAATTCATTCATATATTTTGTATCAAGTATTATCGATCAAAAGAAAAATATTTAAAGTCAAATTTGAAAAATAAAGACTTCAAAAATCAAACGTGGACAATTAATTTGGGATAGTAATAAAAAACAAATTAATCAAATCGTCCATATGATTTGATTAAAATTATACGTTTGGTCCTTAACTTTTATTTTGCATTCTAAACATCCTATAGTTTTTTTTTGTTAAGATTTTCGTCCCTACTATATATAAAAAGACTTTACCAGATCCTATTATACTTTACCAGATTTTATTTATATTTAAAAAACTTTTAAAAATAATTAAAAGTATTTTATAAATTTTTAAAAGGGTTGGGCTCGACATGTCCCCACCACCCCTAATCCAAACCCCCAGTCCACCCATTCCACTATATAACTTGAAGCTATCGATCGTAGTTCAAGTATTCAAGATATACCTTTCTCCCTCTGAACTCCACCTTAAATCAACGATCTTCACCTCAATTCCCCATCAGAGCCTTCTCATCCCGAAAGTCGCGGCCACCATCAGCCATCATGTGAACAACACCTCCGGATGACTGTAACCCTAACACCTATGGAAAGTTGCAACTGTAAAGATGCTGGAAACTTGGAACCCTAACGCCTCCGGAAACCTGCAACTGTAAAGCCACCGAGAACCTGTAACCCCATTGTTCTTCTTCGCCTTCGCACGTTCCCATCTAACCCCGTTTCTTCTTGTTCCGTTGACCTCATCGATTTCACCTGGAAAAATCGTCTTCCACTGATTTCATCATCTGGAAAAATGGTCTTTGATTTATGGGATATCAGGTGAGGTGTTTTATCTTTGGATTAATCCCAATGTGTTTAATCCGGCGACATCATCGATTTCAAATACAACATCACTTAACTCCATTTGCTTTTCAATTTGATTTCTAGGATTTCATCATCGATTTTAGGTTAGGTTTACGTTTTAGGTTATGATTTTCAGATTTGATTTTGATTTCCATTTATGTTCTGATTTTAGGATTTCAGGATTTGACTTTGGTTAGGTTTTGATTTTGGAATTTGATCTTGGTTTGGTTTTGATTTATGGGTTTTGATCTTGGTTTTAGTTTGATTTTGATTTGGTCAAGGTGGTGATCAATTCTGTTTGCAGGAAGTAAATGATAGTTATTGTCGGAGGTGAACATGGTGGTTGTTGGATGTAAATAGGGTGTGACCTGATGAAATCGATGATGTGGGCGGACTGAATAGGCGGGTGGTGGTGTTGCCGAAATACATGGATGTGGCGGTGGTGACAGGTGGTTTCCTGGTTGTAGTGATTGGAGTGGGTCTATATATTTGTTTTTTCGAAACAAAAATTCAAAAAGTTTGCGGACCACCTCTGCAAACCTCTGCAGCAGAAGAGGTGGACCAAACTAAAATTTTGAAATAAATACAAACGAAATGATGAAGAAATAAGTAATTCAATCTAACGAATTATCAAAGATTTTTTTGAATACAACATTATATATATTATTGTTAACTTTACCGTCGTTATCTAAAATTAATATTTTTAATTTATCTATGCTTTTAACTTATTAGTGAACAACAACCCCACATCCGATGACGTTTTTAGCTTAAAACTAGTAAAGATTGTTGTTTTGGGGATAAAATAAAAGGAAAGGTGTTTTGTTTTGTTAAAAAGTTAAAATACGATTGTTTTGATTTAAAACTACACAAACATATTGTTCAAAAAATTTAACAATTATAAAAGGCGAATAACTTTAAATCATTCAAGGCATTTTTAATTTATAACGCGTTCCTCAAATCTCGTGAGGTAAATATTAGAAATCCACAACGCAATTCATTATATATTGTTTTATTTTTTTTGTTACAGTATGAGGAGTCATTTTATGAAATTGGGATTTTAGTTATACATGAAAAAAATAAGATCACAAAAAGCAACAGAAAAGCAAATCATTTTCATAATACAGTGTAATACAAAATACTTGTTCTTACTAAAATCAAAGAAATTTTTTTAAGCATTAATCACTTTGGTAATATGAAAAAAGATGTATAATAATATATTTAATCGTCAATATATTATAAAATATTTATATCTTATTGAGATTCCAAAATTTCCGCTATATTTTTGCTCTCCCTTTTATTGAGTCAGTTTTGTCACTTCCTAGCCTTGGTATCCAACATGTTCTGAAGAACCGGTAAGGTTTAACTCCAATCCAAAAAACAGAAATATGAAACTTAGTAAAATCTTTTAAGCTAATAAGCTAAATGATTAAATGATAAACACATTGAAAACTTTAAGCCATGTTTAATATCATTTGATAAAGGGCCTTAATCCTTTTTTTACAGTAATGTTCTTTTCTCTTCATAGAAAAAGTAGATTTAGAAACTCCTGCTCATGCTTGATAAAACCACAAAACAGTTCGAAATGTAAATGATAGAAAAGATGAAACCGGTGGTCTCACCCATCACCAGTTTGATTACAATTTACAAAATACTATATTAAGCATCCTCAATCTTACTTGGAATTCCTAGAGTTCACAAAGGGACTGGAAAAGGAAAAGGGGCTGATGGCACCCTCATTGCCATCATAAATAATTGAAAAAAAAAAAAAAACTCATCATCAAAATCAAATATTATTGAGGTTAAAAGTTGTCTATTTTTATAGGACTAACCTTCATTCTACTTCTTCATCAGGATCCAAACCTGACCATGTTGCTATAATATCATCAAAAATGAACTTAATAAACAACAAACGACAAAAGGTAAAATTAAAAGACATTATTATAAACTAACTTTCCTTGGCGTGTTCCTCTTAATTTTAAACGGGTTTCAATCTACAAACCTTTCAAGCATGAGAGAACGTTTTCATTCTAACATAAGTATATTACACATTAAAACCTCAAGAAACAGAATAAATACCCCAATGTTGATTGTTGAACAATATTTTGTAGATATAAAATAGAAAGGAAAAATACTTCCAGTTGGGATTTATCATGAATCACATGTGGGATTGTTTTTGACATTGGAACGATAGAAACTTTAGAAAGATTTTTTTTTTTTGAAAAGGCAAATAGGGAATATATTATAAATAAGAGAGCACTTAGCAAGGAGCTAAGGCAATAACAGAATACAAAACAGAGTCCAAATACAAATAACACAAAATTGTAAGAAAGAAAAAGGCATAACTATGAAATGGAAAGGGGTGAGCAGCTCCAGTCAACCCAATTTCCACAAAATTCCTTCCCCTATGCTTACACCATAAATATGATGTAGCAATTATGTTATCAGCAATTCTTCTAGCCGAGTACCTTGCCTTCTTGAAGTGTATATCATTCCTTGCTAACCAGACACTCCAAAGAAAGCAGTAAAAGATGGTATTGATAATTTGCCTTTTCGTGGACAGTTCCCCATGTAGCTACATGATCCAGAAAGTCAATAACCTTATCAAACTGTCTGTAACTTAAACCAATCCATTTGAAAATTCAGTCCCTCACATTACTGGTGAATTCGCAATTGACCAACAGATGATCCACGGTTTCAGTTACCTTTTCGCATAGAAACTTTAGAAAGATTTCATGAGAAAAATCACAACAAACAACACTCCACATTACATCTTTCATCTTTTGGTTGAAAGAATATAAAATGCCACCAAGATAATTGATCGTAAAAGTGAATTCAGAATTTTAAATTTAAAATAACCCCTCATCCTCTTCTTAATTCATGCAAATTGATGGGAACTTGCCATTAAAAATTGCCAAAATATTGGGATTCCACCTTGAAATTAATGGTCATTTAAGTTTAATAAATATAACGATAATTATTATTAGGTGGCATTTTATTAATGAAAATAGAAAAAATAAGAAAATAACATGTGGAAAATAAATTAATCTAAAATGTTGAGAAAATTATGTGTCAAAACACAAAGGAAAATGTGACATTTTGCTAAAGATTTTTATTTAAGTACTAGTTTATAACCCGTGAGAATCACGGTTATAAAATTAATTAAATTTTCATATTAAAAAAATAAAAAAATATTAATCAAATATTTGAAATAAATTATTACTTAAGAGATATTTTTTAATTATATAAAATTATAATCGTTGATTTAAATAAATACGTGAAGTTATATCATCTTATAATATATATTAATTTTATTTTATTTTTTAATTTAATGTTATTAATTTAATATAATTAGAGTGAAAAAATTTAAAATGGTGAA